CAGGGTGTCGTCGGGCCTGACTTCGTTCTGACATCGTGTGTCGTCAGATGTCGTCGGGCAATTAAAAACATATTGACTTCGTCCTGACATCGTGTGTCCTCAGGGTGTCGTCGGGCCTGACTTCGTTCTGACATCGTGTGTCGTCAGGTTGTCGTCGGGCCTGACTTCGTTCTGACATCGCGTGTGTCGTCAGGGTGTCGTCGGGCCTGACTTCGTTCTGACATCGTGTGTAGTCAGGGTGAGGTCAAGTGTCGTCAGATGTAGTCGTCAGATGTCTGGCCACGTTGAGCGTTCACCAAAGGAAAAAGGAACTCCCTTGTGTCTTGATTGCCTCGGTTTCTGTAGGAAAGCTCTCTCTAGGCCATTGGTATTGCTGGTGTGGTGGAGGAAATCGTTTTTGGAGAGCAAACCGCATATAGCTTTTGGTTGAAGAAGCTGCAGTGCCTGAAGTCATGTGGCTGGGGACGCGTTTGGCAAAGCCAAGAGTCCCATTTGTTCACACCTGCTTTGAGCGAGTCATGGACGCTGCCTCCGTGGTGGCGATGGGACGGTGATGTGCTCACTACCTTGCTGTGAAAAAGAATTACCACGCTGACCCACACACCGCTTTGTTTTGTTGCTGTTGCGTTCAATTATGTGGGGTTGGCGGTGTGTCCGCTTTAGGTGGCGGTGTCACCGCTGTAGGAACTGACATGTTCAACAGGCGGCTGCCTCGCCCCTCTTTGGTCTACAAACAGGGATGGTTTTAGAAGAGCGCTCACACAATGAAAAAACCCAGGATTTTCAAAAAATTTCTTAAAACATAACAATTTACAACCTCAAAAAAACAGGTTTTTGTAAAAAAGTAAAAAAAGTTAAAAAAACAAGCTCTTGTCAAACACCTGCGCTCTACTTAGCCTACTTATAAGTATGGTTATAAGTAGGTCTAAGTAGTAAGGTCATAAGTCAGTATAAGTAAGTTTGTAAGTAATTTATAAGTAACTGTTCTGGCCTAAGTAACACGGACTATGTGGTACAATGCATCGCTTCAATGAAATGGAACCTGTGCTCTTTTGACATCACGACTGCTTTCTTAAGGGGAAAGGCCGATGCGTCGAATCCGTTAGCAATGGAACCTCCAGAAGAACTCCGTCGAAAAATGCAGCTCAAGCCCACGGAGATCTGCCAACTAGTTGGAAACGCCTACGGACGTGTAGATGCTCCTTTGCTTTTCTACCGGGAACTGACCAAACACCTCCGTGAACTTAACTTCCAGACTCACCCTCTTGAACCATGTGTCCATTTTTTGTCATCTGGAAAGGGCAAAGACTTTGTTTTGCACGGAGTGTTAGGAACCCACGTGGATGATGGCCTAGGTGGTGGTGACCAGTTCTTTCGGAAGCAACTCAAGGAACTAGAACGACGGTTACCCTTCGGTTCATTCAAAGAGCGTAAATTCAAATTCACGGGTATTGACTTGGAGCAGCAACCTGATGGATCCATCTCTGCTTCCCAAGAAGCGTATGTCCATGGTATCATGGCCATTGATATCGGAAAGAACCGCCGTGAACAACCAGAATCCGACTTAACGGAAACCGAGTTGTCAAAACTTAGAGGGATCATTGGAAGCATTCAATACGCCGTAACACACACAAGACCTGAAATCGCTTCCAGACTAGGTGAAGTCCAATGCCAACTGTCCAAACCAACTGTTGGAACCATGCTTTTGGCAAACAAGGTTTTGCGTGAAGCTCAGGAACATAGTGACACTAAGATTTGGTTTCGATCCATAACCCCAGAGGACGTAACTCACATTTCGTTCGGAGATGCTTCCTTTGCCAGCCCAAAGAATTTAAGTTCATTCCAAGGTCATTTGATCTGCGCCACGTCCACGTGTCTCGATCAGAACCGCAAAGGTCCACTGTCACCTTTGATTTGGTCCTCAAAGAAGATCTCAAGAGTTGTGAGGTCCACCATTTCAGCTGAAGCCTTTTCCATGAGCCAGAGTGTCGACCGACTCAGCTGGATGCGACTTCTTTGGGGATGTTTGCTCGTCCCTGAGTTCAACTGGAGATGTCCTCCGGAAGGATTCAAACAACTCAACCGGGCTATCATAACCACGGATTGCAAATCCCTTTTTGATTTGGTAACTAGAACTGCAATCCCCACATGTGAGGAATACAGAACGACTCTGGAAGTTCTCCTTATTAGAGAACGGTGTGCAGAACATGCACATTTCAGATGGCTTCCGACAACAATAATGTTAGCAGATGCTTTGACCAAAGTCATGGATAGTGATCTCCTCAGAACGACTTTACGAACCGCGCAATTTCAGATCTTTGATGAGACTGCCGTTCTCCGTTATAATGCTCACCGCAAGCAAGCACTCAAATGGTTGAACTCCGATGCACCTGCCTAAAGGTTTTGTTTGATCTTTTAAAGTTTCACTGATTTTGGGGAGTGTGAAACGTGTATACTCACCAGCCTAGGATCTCCAGGTGTCTCGTCACGCTTGACTCTCACCGATGCCAGAAGGGGCTCGAGGTGGGAGGGCTGGGAGCCATAGCGCTTGAGGAAAAGCGCGAGCCATAGGTCGGGCTGCGGTGGAGCGGTGCTCCAACCTTTTGGACAGGGTCCATTCCTTTGAGGTTGTGTTCCTCTTGAAGCAGGGCTTCACTGGAAACGGGGTTTCCACCTGTTGTTGTTGAGGTTGGCCCGCTACCAATTTCACAGTACCCGTTAATGTGTATCTATATGTATTGTGTATATATATATATATAGAGCACCCCCCGCTGGCAGGTGATGGCCGCGAGCGAGGAGAAGAGCGAGTCCGAGGACGCGAGCGAGTACGAAGAAGGCAGCGAGTCGGAGGAGGCCGAGAGACCTGTCCTGAAGCCTCGTTCTCCAGAGCACGAGGAGGCCGAGGAAGAGAAAAGGGACAAAAAGGCCGACAAGAGGCGTTCGAGGGACAGCCACCGTCACTCGAAGCACAAACGCTCCGAAAAGGAACACAAAGGGCGCTCTAAGGAGAAACACTCCAAGAAGGACAGGAAAGAAGACGAGGCAGAGCGCCGGGGAAGGAGCACAGAGAAGCGCCGAGGAGAGAAGCCGCCGGCAGAAACACGCAAGGGAGACCACAGGGCCGGCAAAGGCAAGCCGCAAAGTACGAAAGGCAAACCGCGAGGGTCTAGCGCAGGGTCGCGGGTGAAGTGCGACATCTGTCACCAGTGGACCACGGGGCACGCCAGCGGCCAGCAGCAGCACAAGGGATCCAATCTCTTGCGCTTGACCTGGCAAGCGTGGAATGCTTTGGCGCCTGAGAGTCGCCTCCAGGAGGGTGCGTGTGCAAGCTGCGAGAAGAGGGCAGCTGCTGCACAGCGCCGCCACATGCGGTGGGACGAGTACGAGGATGTGGTTGTGGACCCGGTCATAGCTCTGGAGAAAGAAGAGCAAGACCGCGCCCAAGCAGCCGAAAAAGAAGCGCGCGAAGCCACAGCCTGTCTCATCCTCTCCGTCGCCGCCTGCGCGGCGGCCCAAGAAGAGGAAGGACACCAGTTCGAGCAGCGACAGGGGTTCTGCGCGAACCGGCGGAACCCCCCCGAGGGGGTCGGGCGATCTATGTCCAGGTCGGGCGAAGAGCGCGGCTATAGACGGCGGCGCCGAGATATAGGACGCGCACAGGACTCGCGCGCGCGCGCGCCTGAGAAAAAGAAAGCGCGCGGGAGGGCAGCGTCTCGTTCGTTCCTGTCTCCGCGTCTGTATATATACCTATATATGTGCGTGAAAAATTATCTATATATGTTCATAAAGATATATGTTTTTGAAGTACTCCAACGTCGGTCGATGTCGGACCGTCGATTTAGACGTCTCGGATGACCCTATGTCGGCCAACGTCGGCCATACTTACCTAGCTAGGGCCCGCGTTCTAGAGCTACCGTAAACCTAGTAGATCGCGATGTCGGCCAATGTCGGTCCGACGTTCTCGTTTAAAATCCCGGAAAACGTAGATTTTTCAGCTTACTGGCTCAGAGACGCGGAATATACTATCCCCCTGGCGCTCGGAGGCGCTCTTATATACACCCGATGGCGGAACAGCCCTGTGAGGTCCCGATCCCTGAGGTTGAACAGCTGAGCGCTGTCAACACTTGCAAGCTGTGCAGGCGCGACCTGCCCGAAGAGCCCGGCAGGCTGAAAGGCAAGACCTTTCAGTGCCGTCCGTGCTTGACGCTGCAAAGCTTGCTGTACAGGAACGTCGGCGCCGGGACGCTGGACAAGTGGACTCAAGACCAAAAGAAAGACTTCTTTCGCAAGGCAGGGGCAACCGCACCAGACGACCGGTACTCCTGGGAGACTGTCAAGACGGTGGTGATCCACACGGAAGTGAAATCCAGGATGGATTCCACTGAGACCAATGTGACGGCTGAGGCCCTGCCGATGTCTCCGCACCAAGGTCGAGGAAGAGATGCTGCTTCGCGAGAAGGCCATCACGAAGAAGCCAGGAAAGTCAGGCAAGCGCAAAAAGACCGACGAGAAGGAGGAGGAAGTGGAGGACGCGCAGGAAGACGAGTGGGACGTGGCCGCCCCACAGCCGAAGACAACTGCCGCTGCAAAGGCGAAAGGAAAAGCCTCCAAGGGCGGAGCAGCCGAAGAGACGCAGGCGGCCCAGGCGAAGCGACTCGCAAAGACGAACCAGAAGACGGACAAGGACAATGAACGCACGCTAGGAGAAGCAGTCAAAGCTTTGGCAGCATTGACGCCCCAAGTCAAGGCCCTGATCACCGTGAAAACTCAGGCACAGAAGCTATTTTTGCCTGTAGAGTCGATAGAAGCAGCTCTGCAGGACACGCAGGAGAAGAAGACTGCGGCCAACAACGTGGTTATGGCGGGAAACCACGTCGCGGCCCACGTACCGCTTCCCTCCCGGTTATTTTCAAAGCGACAGAGCTGAAAGACCACGTCAAGGCGATCAAGTCCCTCCTCTCCGAGACGAGGAAGACCATCAAGGCGCAGAAAGACCGTCTGGCCGAGGAGAAGGAAGCGCAAGAGCAGAAGCAGTGACTGGGGACTTTTAATTTTGCTAGGTAGGCTCTGGGCGGCAATATGCGTATTGCCGCCGTATCTGTATACTTGCCGGATGGACGGCTTTCGTGGCAAGAAAGGCCGCTTCGACAGCCACGTCGCACTCATCCCGGTTCGATCAACGTCTCGAGAGTTTGTTTGATATTATATATAATATGTAGATGCATCTCCGCAGCCCCTGTAGTTTTTTGGTTGGGTGGGTCGCACGGCTTTCTGTCTGTGTAGGACCACATGACACAGCGCCTTCGGCACGCTCCGTTGTCGGAGCGCAAGCGCAAAGCGCCCGGCATGGTGAGGAGATACACGGAGTTCTGATATCGAACAAGCGAGTGCATCTCTACGGTCCTCGCTTTGCGGACGTTGGCGTCCACCACAATTTGCGCACTATGTTTGCTGACATGGGTCCAGTCCAGGTCGACTCCTCCGAGGATGAGACCTCTGCAAAGCAAGAATCCTTGCCTATGAAATCTGGCTTGGCTGAAGAGACCGTCGACGTCCTGGAACCATTGGAGGCTGAATTGGAAGCTCGGATGTCATGGGACGGTGAGCTGTCCACATGCGTCATCCATATGGGGAAAGCCTTGAAGGTGGTGCGAGACACGCTCCGCCCTGCGCGGGCGGAGCTTCAACGCAGTTCTGTCTGCGTCGACGGATCTGCGGGCGCTTTCGATTTCGATTCCTCATCTGGCGCGAGTGCATGACAAAGTAATTCATTTGTTGGCTACCTTGCATCGATGAAATGAAGCTACCGAAGATGTATATACTGCGTGGAAAACAATTCGAGTGCTTGGATGGATCTTGTTCTCAAGTCGGTTGCTTTGTTCGTTCTGCTTTTTTTTTTTTTTCGGAGTGCTGCGTGTAAATGTTTCCTTTCGGCTCGAATTTATGTATCCTTATATATATAGGGGTATACCGTGGTCATGTAAGAGGGGACCATGGCCATGAGTCGCAAAAGAAAGGCGGAGGACGTCCACCACGCCTTTCAAGACGCGTTCCGTTCCGTTCACGCTAGTCGACGTGACACGTGGACTATTTGGAACGCAGCCGTGGACAGTGGACACAGAATAGGTCCTGGCAAGGCACGGCGCGGTCTCGATCGCGAGCAGGCTGTTGCGAGGGAGTGTTATGATTTGCATGTGCTCCCCAGTGCGGGAGATGGGCCGCAGCAGGGCGTTTACATTGCAGATCTAAGCCGTATTCTGAATTACCTCGTCAGCAAAGTCCCTGCGTGGGATCGAGAACTGTTTCTTCGTGTCTCTGAGGGAGACACCTTAGAAGCGATTCTATACGCTGATGACGTGACATGCGGCAACATTCTAGCGCCCATCAAAAAGAAGAAGCCGACCACTATCTATTGTTCATTTCGGTGTCTCTGGCGAACTATAGATTGCGTCGAGTGCTGGATCCCCATCTGTCTTGTCCAGAGAACGCAGTTGGACTGCATAGACGGGGGACTCTCATGCCTCCTGCGCCACGTCGTTTTGTCTCTACATAGTCACTCCAACGAGCAAGGCTTTGCTGTACGTTTTCCCCACGGTGCCCGGACGCTCCGCCTTGCCAAACGATCGTTTCTGCTCTATGACCATGAGGCACAACGAGAGATATACGGCCTCAAAGGAAGCGCAAGGGCTTCTGCCTTGCGGGCATTGCAGCAATGTTTTGAGTAGACATGCGACGGTGAAACCGCATGGCTTTGTGACAATTGCCGAACACGACATGACTCGCTTCAACCGGAGAACGGACGAAGCTTATAGCCAGCTTGTGGAATCTCTACAACAGCCTCTGTCCAAAGTGGCCCGAGTCAAGAAAGAGCAAGCGTGTGGTCTACGCCTGATTCCGGAGGGCCTGATGTTCTCCGCGCAAGCACGTTCGCGCCTTCCGTTCAGTTCATCTCTCACAGACACTTTGCACGATTACTACAGCAATGGCATCTGCTGCACAGAGATTGCGTTCATGGTCGCCGAATTGGAGAGACGCGGGGTGTCACTGAAAGCTTTGTCCGACGCCGCTGTGTCCAGCCAGTGGCGGAGCCTCGGACGAGGTCGGGGCTGTGGCACCGGACACCTGACGAGACTCTTTCATCCGAAATGCTTCGAAGGCGGCGTCTTCAAAGGCGATGCTGGAGACTGCAGGTCGCTGTTCTTGCTCTACTACTACGCCCAGAGTACGCCCTATTGAAAAGATTCAATAAAGTTATTGATTTTC